GAGGCCGGCTGAACACGTTAGTGTTCTGATGCTCTGCTTTATTGAAACAAATCTGGGTTTTGATATACAAAAAAAGCTTGAAAAATTCAGAAAGTTTTATGGGTTGGGCTAGGATGCAGTTACTGAGTTTTACAGCTTGTGCGGTAACATGTGAGCAATACAGGTTGCTAAGGCTTGACAGGGAGCAGGATTACCGAGTAAGAGACTGTGAATTAGTGTCTTTGCTCACATTTTAAAAATCATTTTCAGTCCTTTGTAACTATTTTCAGTAGTAATGATGGGTTTCCCTTATAATCCATTCGTGCATCTCCTCTCTACCTTGCTTTTCTCCAAAGTGTCCTCAGGAGAACAAAGTACCTGCCAAGCACATTTGGTTCTCCCAGCTCGCTGCTCTTCACCCAGGTTTACTCAGCTGAGGAATTTTGGGTTCGTGTAATTCATAACAGGGCTCAAAAGTGGGAATTTAACTACCAGGAGCAAGGTTGGAGAGAGGCATATTCTACAAGCCGAGCCATAAGTGCCACATTTAGGTATGACCCAACCCCGAATTAAATCTAATCTTGTTAATTAGAAAATAGCATGCTCACCTCCGGGAGCCATGCTGTCAGCAAGGCTGGCTCCAACTCCTCACGTCACTGTCAAGCCTCGTTAGGATCCTTTCAGCAATTAATGTGTTTAAAAATGCTGCAATAATTCTCGGGAAGAGTTGATGTTTCAGCAGGCAGTGCTGGGGCGATGTTGCTATGGCAGCCTTAGCCAGGATTTTTTTTCTGTTGTTAATGCCAAAAACCCTTTTTTTCCTACCATGTCCTGCATTTTACTTCATGGCATTTTTCTTGTTTAAACAGCAAGATGATTTTTCGCTTGTTTTATTGCTTTTCCTATTGCAGTTGCTAGTACAAGTAACTCAATACCACTTAGTGTGGAAGGTGCTATAAATATGGGCTAGCCTAAAAGATTTTGCGTAGAGCCGTGATCTGCGAGTCAATAGGCAGAGAGAAAATGTTAGAAAATGATGGAAAATGTTTTTTGATCATAGCTAGCTTTTCTATTTCCACACCTCTTGGCTGATGACATCTGCCCTTGGCTTCCAGCATCTTCAGAAGGTGTGGGGCAAAGAAGTCTCAGTATCATAATGTGCTGAAACCTGGACAAGAGACAAACTGATGTTGTGTTGGCAGAGGTTTATTGGGCACAAAGGGGCTAAACTCTCCCCCGATGCCTTTCCTCTTACCTCAGCCTGGTCCCCGCTGCCGGGGCGGTGCTGGAGGGACCATGGAGCTGGATCTCTTCTACCATGGTTGCCTTGTGGCTGATGGTGTTGAAGGCTCCACTCGAGTTTTCCCTGCTGTTGGCCACCTTGACCTTCTGCAGACCATCATTAATGAAAAGTCTGACTGATGCCCAACCGTTGAGCAGAGATTTCCTCATTTACAATTTATTTCCTCATGGGACTTGTCCCCTTCCTGTTTCTTGCCTGTCAGTGTTCACCGTTGGCCTGCCAGGGTTTCACTCCTGTTGTCACCGCAATCCTGATGTGAGGAGGAGATGTGACTGTTTACACACGTGTTTTGAGGACGTTTCAGGAACATGACCATGGGAAGGAGGTCAGTCCTGCCAGACTGTCCATTTGTTAAGGTGCCAAAGCAAGCGCTGGGCTCTCCTGGAGGCAAATGCCTGCTGAAAAGGTACTCAGGAGCTTGCATAGGAAGGGAGGACTTGCAGCATCTTGGCAGGGTGTCAGGAGGCAAATTCTCTTTCTCTGAAGACTGGATTTTTTGTTGCATGTTAGCATGACTCAGCTGATCCTGGGAGAGAAGACTTCAGCAGTGATCGAAGACTAGATTTTACTTAGGGGAAAAAAAAAAAAAAAAAACACGTTTTTTAGTCACTTTGTTGTATTTCTGTGCCCTGAGGAACATGTGAGCCAAACATAGGTGACATTAGAGGAACAAGAGACCTTCACAAGGGCCTGGGGAGCACACGGCACGCGGTCTGGAGCAGCTGAAGGAAACAGGAGCAGCCACCCAAGGCTGGGCTGGGGAAGGGGAGTGAGGGACCCTGCAGAGCACCAGGCAGGTCAGCTCGTGGTAGGAAGTGTGGGAGCACCTGGAGCTCCAGGGCTGCCCAGGGAAACCATTTCCACTTTCGGTACGGAGAGGTGGAGAGATGTGCTCCGAGCAGGGCCGCCAGCCTCGTGTTCTGCTCTGACTGTTCCCATGCTCAGAGGAAACCGTTTGTGATCCTCTTGGAATGAGCTGGACAGGTGTTGAGAATAACAGTTTGAGCTCAAAGTTACTGCTTTTCCTCTGTGATTTGTCCGTGCTCCTTTCTGCAATGAGGAGCTCTAATGGGGGGGAAATACATACATGTATTATATGTATTTATATATATAAATGACAACTTTGTAGTGGTTGCATTGAACTGCCTCCTTTGGAAAGGCTACAGTGCTGAAAGTGATAGGAAAAGAATGTTCTCTGCAACACTCAACAGCAGTAGTTTGTACAACATACAAAGCAACTCTGAATAAATTCATTTTTAACTAAAAAGATCATTAAATCCCTCCAGTGGCTGGAAAGCTGCCCACCAAAGCGGGCATGATGAGCACTGGGTTTTTGGAGGGAATCCTTGCTCAGGCCTGTGTAGACTTTTCTAGTGCCTGGAGCTTGATAAGCTAGAAAATTTTGGGACATTTAAAATAAATGGGCGTTTCTGTGTGATAGCCTCAAGCAAGGTGTCAGAAGGTGCTGTTTTGGAGATCTTCTGCCGCTCGGTTCAGGGCCTTTGCTCCTCGAAGTTCCCCTCTGGAGTTTGCCATGGGAGCTCTTCTCTGACGTTAAACCCTGACCCGCTGCTCCAGTGGAAGGTAACTGGGCACGTGCCCCAAGAAGAGAGCCTGGCCAAGTGGCTCTTAGGTCAGCCCTGTTCTGTGACGGCTAAGAAACAACAACAAAAAATCCAGATCTTTGTGGACTACTTGCCTGAAAAATTTATAAAATCAAAACTTCTTCTTCATAATCTCCTCAAGGAATTTTATTGGGAAATTAGTGTTTTTGCCTGAGTTAAGTGACTGTTTAGCCTGCACGAGGGCACATATCACGTCTGGTATGTAATTATAGCTGGGATGCTGGACAACAGGGGTTTAACCTCAAGCACAGATGCAGCCTCTGTTATGATGTATCAACTAGCTGTGATTATAGAGATTGGTGCCTGCTCCAGATCAACAGACCTGCCCCCTCTCTACCCCCAGAGTGAAATGCCAACAAGGCAAACAGGTTTTGCCAGAATGCAAGTGCTTTATCAAAGCAAAATATTGGGAATATTGTCTGCCCGGTGGCCATGCAGGATGTGTTAGGGAAAGGGTTTCTGCAGTAGCTTAGGGTCAGGCAAGGTGCAGCAGTGTTTAATGCTTTGAGATTGGAATCACTGTTTGAACGCTCAAAGAGGGACCTGGCAAAAGCTTCTGCGGCCTCTCGAATTGGCCCTTCATCCATGGAAATGCTCCTGGTGAGTTCACAGGGCCTTAGATCAAGGCCTCAATTGAGTGCGAGAAGAATTACTGTGGGGTTCAGACCTCTGCTTTGCATGAGAACTTGCAATACTCATCTCAGCCCCTGGCCCCTCGCTCCCTGTGGGTGCTGCTGGGACAGGCGTGACGGTCTCTGCAGGGGGTTTCAGGGAGGCAGAGACCATGTGAGGTGAACCAGGACTGTTAGGTCTAGAAGAAGGGCGAGAATGAAGCAGAAGCAAAACACCTGGTATAAAGTACAACATGCATGAGCCTTCAAACAGTTGAACCAAGAACGTGGTTTGCTTTGTGCTGAGCTTTGGGGATTGTGACCTAAAGTGGAAGGAGCTAAAAGAAACTGTTATTCTAGTGTAATTTTGAGGCAACTGCAGGAGATCCCAAGCTCCCTCATGCCCTGTTTCTATATCTTGCACGACTGAGGTAAACCTTCCCATGCAAAGTTATTGTGAACTGTACAGAAACGCTCAGCCTGGAGACACATGGTGGAATTAGAGTTAGGCTGAGTATTGCAAGTGATGCTCACATTGTGCTATTTGGGGGAAATGAAGTGTTATTATCTAGATCTAAACCACTTATTTCCCCAAATACCACTAACAATGAAAATTAAAATCACTTAATTATGGATATTACACCAAAAATAAGAAAGTGTTTCAGCATTAAGACCAAACTGGGACATCAGAAACTAGGGTGTTCTCTAGTCACCTTAGCTGGTAGAGGAGAGGATTGATATTGGTCTGTGCCTACCTCAGTTTCCTGCCTGTCTGGAGGAAACTGATGCTGTATTGTTAGCAAGTACAGCAATAAGGCCACCTCAAAGCCTTAAGTAGGTAACAATTCTTGGATTTTTTTTTTTTTTAATTTTTACAGTAAGGATTTAATTTGGGAAAGCGATGCACAGCAGAAATCTTGTTTGTTGGACTACAAGTGACGTGCTGAATCCTCAGGCTGTCAGCTCAGCCTGTTCGTGCATATGCTGAGTGTGGCATGTTCAACGGCAGGTTACCTTGGGAGCCTATAAGCTCTGAGGTTTTTTCCTTTTTTTCTTCTTTTCTTTTTTCTTCTTTTTTAAGTGTTTGGCAACAGTATATTAATATAAAAATATTAAAACAGTAAAAAGGTTGCACACTTGAAATCCATCCTCTGGTTTTCCTGCCACTTTACATCATTTTATGCCGTTCCTGTTGGAAAGCTGGTAGTGAGCCAGCTTAAATGTGATTTCTGCTGCACTTTGAAGCAAGAACGGATGAAGCTAATGGACTGAAGGGAAAGGAAACGTAAAGGGGAGAGATTCCTTAATATTTCATGTGTGAGTTCTGTATTCAGAGGAGCGATTACACAGAGCACCGTTGCTGAGAGCTCAGCCTGGGGAAAATCATCACCAAGATGGTAATAAAAGGGAATGGGTGCTCACAGGATGGGTCTTTATTTTTTGAAGGGGGAATATTTGTTTTTTATTTGTTTTGCTCAGATAGGAGGAGAACTGAGGAACAATTATTTCAGCAAAGAAGGCCTAATTAATTATGGGGAGGTGGCCAAAGATTGGACGGTGACTCTAACATATCTCAAACAGTACATCCTTTTTCTGCCTGCTTTTATGTGGTTGCTGTTTTGTATTATGCTTCTTAAGTTACTTGGGTTATTTATATCTGAACCAAATGTAATGTTTTTTCCCCTCTTTCAGTAGCTGCTTCATGCCAGCGTAAAAACTGGATGTGAGTTGTGCTTTGGGAAGTGATTGATGTGTGCTTGTGCACCTTGTAGCACTATGAGAAACGCAGGTGGAGCCGCTGATGATGTTTGCTAGAAGTAGATTGAAAAAACATGGCAATGAAATTGTGCTTCCACACCGCAAGTCCCTTGTAAAGCTGTGGGTCAGGAAACAATTCCGGCAGCAAAGGCTTCATTGGTTTCTGCGGGACAAAATGAAGAGGCTTCTTCAAGGCCAAGGTGATGAGAATCCCAATCACGCTCATCACTGCCAGCTCTCCCCTGTGGAGATCGAGACGGACGTGTTTGTTTGTGGGATGAAGAGAAACTCCCCGAGCACTGAATTTTCTACTGCTGGAGGGGACTTTAAACAGGATGGAGATGATGGTTCCAAGAGAGCAAGTGAGGTTTGCGTTGGGGAAGTGGAGCTGAACTGGGGTGGCTACGTCAAAATACCGTGCTCGGTTCAACAGACCCAGAAGGACTTGGAGGGGAATTCTTCTGATGGTGTGAAGCAGACCTCTTCCAAGAGAAAGGGGAGAGTGTCTGAGGAGCAGGACCTTTCTACCCTGAGCATTGCCATGAGCTGGAGGGAGATAGCTGAAAGGGAAGGGTGCTTTCCCCAGGACAAGAGCCCTGCGTACTGCAGCAGGAGACGCAAGTCAAGAGATCGCTCGGCTGATGTGGTTGATTACATCGTAAAGGAGCTCCAGGGAATAAGCCGCATCCAGACGGAGATTGCAGAGCTCCGGCAGCACCTCACTCTCATCAAAGGCTCTGTGGATGAAGTCTCTAGCTGCGTGGATACAGTCTTGAGTGAGATTGAAGGGCTTCAAGGTGGTTCCACCAAAACCTCAGGTACGCACGCTCGGGAGGCACTCAAGGAAGAACCAGTACTATATTTTTATGGTATCCCAGAGCAAGATGGTGAAAACACAGTGGAGCTCATCTGCAGCTTCTTGTCTGAATATCACTGCTTCAATGGCATCCAGTGTAATAAGTATATAAAAGATGCTTATAGGTCAGATGTTGGCACAGGTAAGCCGCTAACGCCAAGGCCAGCAGTTGTGAAACTTGTCAATTCTGAACAGCGAGACTTTATTTTGCAAAAGTCTCTCCTTCTGCAAAGCTCAGGGGTCCGGATTGCTGCCAGTGAAGAACAAAAGCCACAGAATGAGCAGAGGGGCCGCAAAGCGGGTTCAGCCCCTCTCCAATCTGGCTCCAAGAAAAGTCATCGCAGCTCGGCAGATCCTGATGTAGCTCAGAAAACAGATGGAGTGGGGCACCTTCAAACAGACTCGTGCCAGGTTAAGAATAAAAGCACAAACAAGAGAACTCAGTGTGTAGGAGAGAGATCTAGTTTTGCACAGAAACCAACCTTGGCTAAGAAAAGTAGCTTGATATCTGACACCGCAAAGGAATCACAAGTAATAAGCAGTAGTGATCCGCCTTCCTGTGACAGGGACTCTCACCAGGCGCCTCATGAATGTCCACAAAATCTTCAGGTGACCAGTTTGGCCCCATCAGGTAATGGAGGTTTTGGCTGCTCATCTGAGTCTTTGGGCAATGCCGGCCAGATATGCGCTCCAAACAGTGGAAGCGAACACAGGCCTGACACTAAAAGTGTCCCTGAGAATGACCCTTCCCTCCTAGACAAGGATGAGAAGGTAACTGCAGAAGAAATTGAAATGGACTGTGGTAGCCCCTGCAAATTCACTGCTCTGGAGAAAGCTGATGTTCAGAGAGAAGATGTTTCTAGTGGGGTGACAACCATTAGCTGTGATCATACAACTGATGAAATGGCTGATAGTAGTGACAGCTTGAAAGATATGATCCAAATGGACCTGAACGATCAAGATCCAACTGATCAGGTCTTCAGGGATGTCCTAGAAAACTCCCAATATTTTCTTGACCATTCCCGGGATAACATTGATCTTGTAGACATGAAGTTTTACACTAACAAGCTTGGGAAAGCAATTCATCACTTCAGATCTGCTCTGCAAGTGGTATTTAACAAACTAGAGACAAGTGACTCAGAAGTCCTTTTGGAAAATGATAGCGGCTTACAGATGGATGATGACAATACGCTTATGCTGAACAGTTCAGGTATGTGTGACAGCTCCGACAACTTTGCAGAAACCCCTCCTAGTCAGTCGTCTGAGAGCCAGGCAAACACAACAGCAAACAGTGAAACATCTGCTCATGTGACATTTGTTCCTTCCAGTCTTTCCCCTGCTCCGTATGACCCTCCTGTTTCCAGCTTGCTGCCGACATCGGACTGTGACATTCCCGCCGGGCAGCGCTCGCCTCCTCGCGAGCTGGGAGTCGACGTGAGCTCCCTACCCGAGCCGGGGAAGGAGTGCAGGCCCATGAGCCTTGACAAGGTCTGTGCGGAGACCATCTACCTGAACAAGTGCATCAACAACTTCAAAAACGTGCTGAAGGAAAAGAGGCAGATGCGTAGGAGACTCTTAAAAGAATTAGCGCAGGAAGGAAATTGGATTTCTGCTGAGGAGATGAATTCAGGTAAACTGGAAAAAAATGTTTTTAAGGAGATACTAAAGCGTAGCATTTGTGCTGCTTACTAGGCAAGGCCTAGCTCTGTGGATGAAGAGTTTATTAATTGCTACCGAATAATGATGAGGGCAAGGACACCTGATATGCAACAGAACTGGCCAAAAGAAGCTCAGGTTTGTTGGTTTATAGGTATATTATTAGAATGCAAATCTGCAAGCTTCACCCATTTTTTGTTTCTTTTTAAGAGACAGGTTTGTAATGTATCTTCCAAATAGCAGGTGTGAGGGGTTTTGTCATAATTCGTGACTTGGCTACTTGTTAAATATAAGAGGGAATGTGATAACAAAGTGTGTGTTTGAGCTATAAGTAGCTATATTTGCCAGTTTTAGGAATTGAGTGCATTTAGACTTCAAGTGGCTCCATCACAAAGTGGGAGTTCTCAGTGTTTAATATGTGCTAGATTTATAGCTTTAGCGGGCAAAAATCCACAATGCATTAAAAAAAGAAGAGTGATGTAGTAACTTGTAACTTTTTCTTGAGATAAGAAATTTTCCATTTCTATGGAAAACTTTGTGCGTCTTGCTGCCAACACAGATAATGACGTTTCCATGGACCTCAGCAGCTGTAAGCTGGAACGGACTTAAGTACTGCTGGTTGACCTGTGCTGGAGATGTGGGGCATAGAAATGACCACCATGTTTTGATGGACCTGGTTTTGATAGGTCATGATTGGGTTTAAAACAAAACAAACAAACAAAACCCAAACGAATCTAACCTTGTAATGAAGGTCAATCTATTCCCTCCTTATCCAGGGAGTCAGAAAACTTCCTTAGTTTTGGCAGCTCTCTCCAGAACACTGCACAGCTAAGGAAAGAGCTCAAATGTTTCAGGAGGGCAGATGTTGGGACTAGAGCTTCAAATCTTCATTTGCTTGCTGTGAGCTTCCCCGTATCAGATATTTTGTTCCTTCTTCTTCCTTGCAATCATCAAAGCTAATCAGAATAATCACTTTGCCCATTGAAAGAGTTACCTCTTCCAGTAGTTTTATCCCCTCACGGGGTTTCTGCAGTGAATAAATGACTGTCAGTCTGTGCCTGGCTGCTCTAAAAGTGACCTTGATATGCGGATCATAATTGTAATCAACTCTCAGCTTTCTTCTTTGGTGCAAGGCCTTTGTTGTAGAATTCATTATGGCAAAAGGCTTTTAGTAAGCAGAATCAGCAAGATTTTTTTAGCAGATTTGGCATGGCTAAACACCTGTTTCTGTTTTTTTAAAGGTATGTTTAAATTACTGAAGTGGAGATGGTATAGATGAAACTGATATTTTTCCATTCAAAAAATAATTTTTTTCCCCCTGTTTTGTATTTTGCTGTTTGCATAGCGCTCAAGTCCTGGAAATATGACCTAATTTTAGACCTATGGGAAGAGATAGTAATTTGGGTTAGCTTTATGCCATTGTAAAACAAAAATATTTTACTAACTTATTTATGAGGCTCCACTGAATGGGATGCTGCTTCTCAGCAGAGTTTGAGCAGTGTAGGCCAATTCACAATAGGAAAAGTAGCTGAAATGTTAAGAGGAAGATGATGATAGCTGGATTTTAGTGTCTCAAGTCTGGCTCTGGTGTAGACGGGCATTCCTGAGCATCTCTGGTTTAGTGTTTCTGCCTAGTAATTAAAACAACCTCTAGGATGTGCAAATGAGTAGTTGATTGTGTAGTAGGTCTTGCAGAGGCATGTCTATGTGGTAGCCATGACTGGAGCTGTCACTGCAGTAAGTGTCAGATGGAATCACTATTTAGGAAATGTGTGCAGAGAGATGGAGGGAACCTAAAAGTGAAAGGTATTGGAAGGAGCTGGACCAGGGATGGAAAAGGGGGAGAGCTTGGAGGGGAGAAAACATGGAGGAGCAGGGAAGCAAAGCAGCCCTGAGCATCAAGGCAAGGCATAGAAATGGGCAGGTGCTTCTAGAGTTGGAGGCAGGAGATGAAACCAAAACCCTGGTGCTAGAGCAGTGTGGAACAAGCTGGTGGGTAAGTAAGAAGAGAATGATTGTATTGGCAAGGGCCGCAGGGTAAGGCAAAACTAATCCTATATTCAACCCGAAATAGGAGTGTTGTGAGAAAGTGTAGCAAGTATTTTATGTTCCTGTGTACACAGAGTGCAATGAAAGCTTTTTTCTTTTATTCTTCCCAGCTGTAGGTGACTGTCTTGGTTGTTCTTTAAAAGTGGAATTTCTTCTCAATTAACCTTGAAGTTTCTGAATTAAGTCCATAGAAAACCCAGTTCTGCCTGCAGCTTTTTGTCCTAAGCCCCTGTATTGCTTATGTCCATTTTAAAGTTCAGTTCAAGGTATTTCATTAAATATAGTTGGCAGCAGTCTGCAGCAAAGGAATAGATGAGAACTTTGAAGGTGTTAGTAAGTCTGTGTGTTTTGGTGAATCAGAGATGATGCACTGGCATAAAGGTTTAAATTATTTATAGTTGTGCAGAGATGTAAATTACAAGAATGGTTTAGAACTCAGCAGATGCATGTAAATAATTGAATTTGAAGTTAAAAGAGAAAAATAGGATATCTCTGAGCATCGGAGCAAGCTTGTGTAAAGTTTTAATTTGAAGAAAGAGTAAGTGAAGTGATGAAGAGGGTTCAGCTTTACATATTTAAAAAAGAAGCTGACATGGTAGAGATTTTTATAAATGTAAAGTGAATGCTCAAAAGTGAGGTAGAAAAAATCCTGTGATCAGGGTTTAACTGCACTGGTCACTATTGATGGTTTGTTCTTTTCAGCACTGGTGAGGCTTGTTAGCACATCTGCTGTAATGGAAGATAATCAGAAAATTTGAGATCTTTGTCTGCAGTTGCTTAGTGACTTGCCAAATTTTGTTTAGCCTGAACTTGTCCCTAACCTCCTTGACTCGAAGGAGCTCAGAAATCAAAGCCATGTATGGAATATAAGCCAAATGAATCCAGCATTTTCTGAAAATGAGCCCAGTGGAGGATTCGTGGCTTTATGTTTCTGTAAGAATAAATTTGACCTTTACTTGAGAAGCTCCAGTGCCCTCAGGTGTTAAAATTTGGCAGTGGTAACCTATGTCAAGGGTCTGTATGTGAAAATCTATCCCAAATGAGCGAATAAGCCTTTGAAAAATGTGTGGTTTGTGTCTTCTTGCTGGTAATTTGCTACCGCTCAGCTCTTGCCTTGCCAAAGACTTCATCTGTCCTCAGTGTTTTCCAGCCTGGGGCTGAAACCAGGTTTTCCCTGCTAGGGCTGGGCGAGAGCTGTGCCAAAGAGGAGTGAGGAGTATGGGTCTCCTGCTCTTGGAGACCTCATGGGCTCTGACAGTGCGGGGAAGCCACCTGGTTCAAATGTAAAAGAGAGAAAACCTCAGGAAGAAGGGAGATAAGAAGGTTGGACCTGCTTGGGACAGATGGAAAGAACCCAAGGGATGAATCATGGGATCAGTTAAGTCAGGAGAGGCAGAGTTTGGATGTGGAGGTTTGGGGTGACTCTGCACAGAGAGGGATGAAAACAAAGGACCTGAAGTGGCCTTGGGGTTGCCTAGGTGAGAAGGTTTCAATAACCTACAGAAAGGAACAGACGGGAGGTTGGTGTCACAGTAGAGCAGGAGTAGAGAAGAGTCTGTGCCCCAAGAAAACAGGTCTTCACTTGAGCCTGGAAAGGCCCCTAGGGCTCCTCAGCTTGTCCACATCAGTAGATATTTGCAGACGAGGCTGGCTACGCCTGGCTTTTCTGTTGCCTGGAATAGGACAGCGTGCTCTGTGTGTCCCGCTTTTTCAACACAGGAATGACTGTGAGGTCTGTCAGATGGTCCACATTTATTCCTCTTTGCTCTGGATCTGTGCAGGCAGCAATGACATCTTTAAACTTGAAAGCAAGATTTTTATTTTAGCTTCAATTCAGCACTTCGTTTGCTAAAATAATTTGACTGCTCCTTCGTGACTGAGTTAAAATAGCTTCTCTATTTTCCTGTCTTAGTGATTGCATGTGTGTAATTACACCTATGGAGAGAGTAACTTTGGAAACTGTTTTAGCTTTTTCACCACTTCGAGTAGCTCTTGTTGCCATGAAGCTATTTCTTTATTTCATGAAGCTATTTTCTTTCATTGGCACATGGGGAATTTGATTCTTCTATGCAGATGCAGAATTATCTGATTGGAGAACTTACAAAATATCATGTGTGGATCGGAAGTTTTGAGTGTGGCTCTCAAGATTACTAGTTTTGAAATTGCCCATCCATAAATATGAGATCTAGTGTAGGAGGCTTCTGGATTTCTCTTTCTCTCTCTCTCTCTGTCTCTCTCTCTCTCTCTCTCTTCCCCCTCTCCAAGGAGAATTGCTTAGATTTATAAAACCAGGAAATCTCTCTCAGCATTATGGTATTTGCAAAAGCCAAATATGTTCCGTGGGAGCTCCTGGTTTCCTCCCAGTGGGAAAAATGTACAGGGGGGAGAAGGTGGTGGGGGGAATGCTTCACATGTGAACAGTGCATGAAGTCTAGAGGAAAAGGGGTTAAATCTCTTCCTGTTTGTGGTAAATACAGATTCTTTCAAGTGTGATAAATAGCATCTCTACTTCAATAATAATTAAGATTATTAAAAATTCTTGAGTTATTAAAGAATGGGAGTTGAAACACTGAAACCATGTTTTAATATGTGTGTAGCTATGGGTAAAATTTGATCACAGCTTAACCAGAGATTAACTGGTAGAGATTAATTAACTGGTGTATGCCCAGGAAGCACATGGAAAAACCTCCTTGCTGCATGAATGTTTTATCAACTTGCAGAAGACATTTACTCCGCTTTCTGAAAAAAATATTTAGAGCTCATGGCAAAAATCTGATCTATTAACTCTTGTTCCTCTCCTTCCTCTCTTTCTTTCTTTCTTTCTTTTTTTTTTTTTTTTTCTTTGCAGAAGGAGGTAGAGGAGAGCTCCAGGTTGTACGTGTTGTCCCTTGCAACCAGCACCTCTTTCTGCCAGAGCTGTGTGTGCATGCCTTGTCCCGTGTGCCGGTGGCTTCAGCTGGGAGCCACTTCAGCATGTCGGGGTTGTCGGGGGCCTTGCTAATGCTGTGTATGAGCCAAGAAGCTGTTCAGTGCGTGGTACCTTCTGGAAAGAGCAAGCACGAGAGCTGTGAGCGAGCCCTTCAGTGCTCCGGGGGGCTCGTGCCGTGTGCGCCGGCACCGTGCTAGCAGAGAACAAATTGTCTTGTGTGTTGGAGTCACCTTCTTGGTTTAGGAATCAAAGTTATCTCTGACTTTTTCCTCCTTTCTATTATTCCATTCCATCTCTGTTTTGTTCAAGTCAAACATATCCTTACAGGCAATAACACTGGGGTTCAGCAGGGCTGTGGGAGCCTGGAGGTGTCTGCTGCAGATCCCAGGCCCTTTCAGCTACCTGTACATCCCATGGGACAGCAGGGCAGTGTGCCCGGTGGGAAGGACAGGACCCTTTAAAATACCTACAGCTGTTGTCTCTGTTATGGACCAGTTGCCTCTGCTTGTCACACTCAGATGGGTGACCAGTTTGTGAGAAGCAGAGAAATGTTTCCTACCAGGAGGATGCCTAGAACTTCTTGTTGACTGCTGTGCAAAATCTTACTTTGTGTTTGCAACTGCATCTCCTGCAGAGGAGTTTTTTGGCTGTTTGATTCCTGGTTTGCTTTTTCTTCTTTGAATCCATGCTGCATGGATTAGGCGCCCGCTGTGCTCCTCCCTTGCTCCCAGTTGTATGAATCTGGTTAAGTCAGCTTCCTGGAGTAGACTGAATGTTGTGTTGACTTTGAGCTTCCACACAAATTATAACTTCGAGCTTCATGAATTTGCATTTCTAAGGTTCGTTGGCCCACATATCAACAGCTTTATTTCATTCTGTCCACCAGCACTTTCAGAGGTAATTCAAAACTGGTGTGAAATTCTGTCATCTTTTGGTTTTGGTGCAAAAATATCGTAGCGATTCCTTAGGCTGTTCATCTGGCAGGTGGAAAACTGTAAGTGGAGAAGACCTCAGGTGGAAGTAGCTTCTTTTATGGCTTTTCAGGCATTATTTGAATCGAAGCTATTGAAGATTCACTGCTACAGTGAACATAAAATAATCCTTTGGCTTGTTGCAGCTTTGGATTCCTTGTAAAATGTAGTGAGTCAATAAAGACATTGAATGACAAGACTGATTAGTCTGATTGGGATGACTTAACTCTGTCTGATTCTGCTAATACCTCTAAAAAAAGTTCTAATTAGATGTACCTAGAAGTTTTATTTAGAAATTGAAAGAGCTGTTCCTTCTTTTAGCCTGATTTGAATTCTTCTATAACTCTACAAAGGGATTTGAATTTCTATAAGACACATTTTGAAGGTTTAATAATGTGATACTGAGAAACAGGTAAGGATAATCTTTAAAACAAACACAAAGTCAAAATTGATTTTCTTATGTCTGGTTGAAGAGTGCAGCTTTCTATGTTTTACATTTGGTTTTTATCTAAGAGAATGATGTGCCAGGCAATATTTAAATGAGATGGAAGGTTACCTTTCAGAAACTCTGTTATGGAGGGTCAGAGTAACTGTCCTGGAGTGCACTAGCAGCTCTGGAGATGCTCTTCGTTTTTCTCCCGACTTAGTAATGACTTTTTTGATGTTTCTCAGTCCGTAAAATGGACGTTCTTCTGCCAAGGCATGTAATTGTTCTCAGCAACAAAATAGCTTGATATATGAAATAATCTCAGTGCAAATTGCAACCTGTTTAAAAAGATTCTCCAGTTACTTGTCATTCTAGCTGTTGCTCTTTCTGAATAATCAAAACTCATACTGGGCTCCTTTTTAGGCTTTACTAAGCATTTCTTTCCAGATAATTGAATAATGTGACTGAACTAATCATGTCTGTTGACTTGCTTAAACCACAATGTGAAGTTCATGCTACTTGGTCTCTGGTGTTATTTTGCTAAATGGTTCTTGGTTAAACACAAATGAACAACAACAATAAAAACAACCAAAAAAAGAAAAAAACAAAACAAAAAAGTCCTTTTGCAAAGACCTCACAGCAACTGATTGAAATGTTCTTTACTGTGAGTTAATAGACTGAACTACTAGGGGTGACAGACGCTGCTCTAGCGTAGTATATATCTTGGACAGTGGTTGTAAAACTATCATTTACCAGCATCAGAAATGCAAACGTCGGAGAGATGTGATAGGCAACATCATTTAATGTACCTTTGCTGCTCTAACTTCTTGGGGCTTTGTTGTGTACTCACTGAAGATGTAAACATCAGTACTTTCCACATTGGAATAAACTGGCCTGGCTGCTTCCAAGGAGAAAGATCAAGTGATAGAGCTGCACAGAAGGAGGAAAGTAGAAACCAACCACAGATCAATTCCCTATGGGGTGCTGAGCATGGATATCTACATGTTACATGTGCCAACTTTGTTTTCCTTTCCCATTTGTGTGGGGAAAGATAGTGGTCAAAATGCTTACCGTTGATCTGGGAGTTCTTTCCCTCTACCTTGGTGCATCTTCTCTGCTCACCCAGGTTCTAAGCAAACCCAGTGTCATCCAGGGCTGCTGGATTTGAGCAGCTCCATGACTGCAGTGAGACTCGGGCTGCCCGTTGAAGCTCTCTGGCACCCTGCTGTGAGCAGCTCTCCAGCTGCAAGTCCATCTAAGCAGCATTGCCGTGTGCCTTTTCTAAATGGAAAGAGATGTGTTTTTATAACATGTTCTTACCCACAATAGTGGCAGAAACGGTGGCTTTTTTATGCTTAATCAGTGCTCCTGGACATGTTTGAACCATGCTAAACTGCATGCCACCCTTGTAGGTAATACAGCCCCCCTTCCAGCCTGCTTTGACCCTGCACGTTAGGGCAACGATTGGGACTGCACGGGTCATCTTTGTCACCATGCAGCCCTCTGCCCATGTGCCATATCATGTCATTAACTTGCATTGAAACTATCCAGTTCACCCCCCTAAACTTGTTTTTGTGTTTGCTTCTTTTGGAAAAGGCACTGCAGAACTTCAGTCCCATCATGGTCTTATTTCCAGATGCTATCTGTATGTATCCTCAATTCTTCTTCCATGCTGTATGTTTTCCTGACTAATGAGTAAAAACAAAGAAAGGTCTGTTTTACTGTCCTGTGCTTCTCCTTATGGTATGGGCCTTACATCCTCACACTGATTTTTGCAATTTTCCTATTTGAATTCCTTTTAATACAGAATACTGGGGTTGTGCATGCCCTTCTGAAGGTATCTTGCTAGTACTGTGCAGCAGATTTCATGTTTTTATTTCTACGGAAACTTTTCCCTGGATAATGATACTCTCCCCTTTTATAGGTGTATCATAGTGGCTCATGGCCCTTGATGAAGCCAAGTTCTGCTCATCACAAACGACCTTCCTTCCACTGAACAACCCCTCATATGCAGTAAAATCCACATTAGGCTTTCGGGCGGGATCTGACCTTGCTGTTTGTACCTCATTTAATTTTCTATCCTCACAGTCTTTTCTGCCATCAGCTGCTTTTCTATAGGGTTTCTCACTTCTCTTCTGTCTCTGTAGCTCTCCTGTGTTTGTCATCAGCAGATTTATCAGCGTATCCGACTTACTCCCACTAACTTCCTAATGACGTTGGCCATGGCTGGCTCAGCTGCAGCTTCTTGCTTACCCCCTACTCACTTTCAGTTTATGCAGCCTAATTAACACTGCGTAGCATCATGTCAAATGTTGACATCAAAAGAGTTATTATTTTTATGAAATGTGCACCTTTATCTTGTTTTTTGCTTGTCCCCAGCTTGGAGATGGCTCCTGTTCCCACACAGCCTTCACCTGCCTTGCCTCTGCATCGACACTGTCACTCACTGAGAGCTCCTTCTTTCGTTGTGTGGTTTTATACCTGGGTGATTTTTAATCTCAGCTCTGCAGAGGCTCCTCCTTTTTCTCTGGTTTTCTTTTTAATTTATATTTTTATTTATATGTCTACAAGTCTTGACAAAAGAAATTAAGACGAATAAGGAGAAGCATGACTTTTCTGACCTTTTGGCAATATTTACTTAGCATGTCTCAAAAGCTGGGAGACTTTTTTCCTCATCATATATTTTTTTTTTCCTTCTCATCCCTGCTTTCACAAACCTGGATATTCTTTTTCTCCCCAAAAGAGGGTTCATGATGCTCTTATAGCTCTGATCGTGGTAGTATGGCCTGTCATATTTGTGATCTGCCCACATCTCAAAGACTGGCAGCTTATGTTTAACATTTCTCAGATAAATTGACTCAAAAGCAAGTTACACTAATGACTTGTGCCAGAGAAATGGTGCTACATTTGTTTGCCTTATTCAGGACAGCGGCTCCGCTTTGACTGGACACTGTGTCGAGCTGAGTCCAGTGTAACACTTGGTTCCTCTTAGGGCATTCTAAGAGTCTTCCGAGTCTTCTAAGTCTTCTGAGTGCTCAGAGGCAGTAGGGATGTCCTCCCTTTTGTGCCCTGAAGGAGCTCGTTGCACTTGTGTCCTGAAATCCCTGCCCTTGACCAGCAGCTGGTCCAGCTCTGTCCCAAAGCCTGGGTTTCAGGCTCTGGAAAGGAGGTTTTGGGGAGTACAACCCTTTGGGGAACACTCTCTATCCAGGGTGCTGGAGAAATGTGCATTGGGGACATGTGTCTCTGGGGCAGAGCTCCTGCTGGTTCTGCAGGCACGTGGTAAAGCTGGGAAGTCCTGGGTAGTGTCATGTTGTTTGTGCCTGTGCGGGGAAAAAATCTACTTGGTCTTCTGGTCTGCATGGCCCCAGAGCTGTAGGAGTGATGAATAAAAAGCTTGGGCTCCTGTTGCTGTACAGGTTGAGACTTCCAGCTCTTTTTTCTTTGTTATTTCTGATACTATGAGACTTCTGTTGCCTGTGAACAACCCCCAGGTTGTACAGCTCATCTGAAGGAGATAAGAGGTAGACCTTTCTTTTGGTGCTACATCCTTTTATCTTGCGTGTAACTGAAGCTTATGCTTTGGTGGGTGCTTCTTTACTTTGTGGTGATTCTCACATTGTGCTTTTGCAGATTGAAGATCTTGTTATGTTTATTTTCTGTGGGGTGCAAGTTAGAGCTTCTCCATCCTCTTGGCAGACAGGATGGTCTGGGGTTGGGCTGTTAGGTGTTAGCCATCTGTTCTGCTTGCTTGTGGGTTAGTGCTGGAAACTAGCTGTCCTTTCAAGGAGTATGATCTTTACTATTCTCCCCCAGATATGTTTTAAGTATTTAAACAGTTCTCAACTTTAATCAGTCCTTTTAAGATGTTCAAAGACACAAGACTTTGCCCTCTAAATACACTCTTATGCTAATACAAGAACATGGTTTGAATTCAACCTGTCTGTAGTGGTTTCTATCATGCCTGCCCGTGTTGGTTCTCCTGTAATCGTCTTGCAAGCGACTGTCCTTGTTTGTTGCCTGTTGGAAATGAAATGCCCATGATGGGAGCTGCAATGGAAACTTCATACTTGGGGAGTTGAAAAGTCTTTACGTCAGAGCATGAGCAAGCGATGCTAACGTGACCTTTGCTGAAGAAAGCTCGTATGTGTTTGTATGAAGTTTCACGTGGATGAATCATCCATTTCATACAGATGCTTTTAATTTGTACTGTCTCATTTATGACCATGTTCACGTAAGCTGTGACCTAGAGTAACAGGAGCTCTCCAACAAGTCATGGCGTTGGTCTTCAACGCTCCCTTTTGAAAGGGGAGGTGCACTGAACAGGCTCTTCTGGTCCCACTTCTAGGTGTTAATGGAGCTACATAGCCTGTCTGTGTCCATAGGACCTGTCCTGATGTGTTGGTCACTTGAGGTGCTTGAATGGACGTCTGTATGCATTTGCCTGCATGCAGTGTGAGCTGTTATTCTCTCCTCAGCTTATAATCCAATAACATTTTCTGATGTTTCCAGAAACTAATTTCACGTTGTTCTTTCCCCTTCCTCCATTTAAGGATCAAGATGAGGCTGATCCATCAAAACCACCTTGGCTTAAAGGAGGGTAAGTAATAGCTGGAGATCTTGTTTCCATATGTTTATAGTTACACCGTGGTTAGTGATCCCCAATTAATCATAAGTAGAAGCAACACTTCTGATGTTTTTAATAGCTGTTTTAATTAATAATGAAATCACCCATGGCATGTTCTGTGATATGTCCCATAGAGCCAGACTACTGCTATGGATCACAGTCACCTCTTGAGCAGCTTGAGGTGGGCTCTGGTATTTGGCAGGTCTCTGGTTGGGAGCAAGGTTGTAAGTGCAGTGTGTAATGAGTTCCTTCAGTGATGGGGTCAAGTGCTTGTGGCACTAGTTAGTAACTAATCCTTGCTGAGCGCCATGGAGAGGAGTCTGCAGAGGAGTCTTTTATTTTTTCCAGAGTCAGTTACAGCTGGCATCAGGAAAACGGGAGAAGTCGCTCAGAATGACTGCTTTGCTCTTATAAAAAAAAAAAAAAAAAAAAAAAAAAAAAAAGTAACTTTGGGGAAAATTGGAGAAATTTTCTGGCTTTGCAGTGCTTTTTATGACCACGCAGATGAAGCTGGAGTAATTCTGGAGCCCGTTGTAGTTAGTCATTTATAAAGCAGAAATGATAATGCCTCTTTTTTGGTGGGGCAGGGCGGGCGGCTGCGTGCGTGCTCTCTGCAGCGTGCTCGTCGCGGCAAACGAAGCAGACAAATTCTGATTATGTCTAATGTCAGCGTGATGCTCCGCATAATAGATGCCAGCACGGTGGCTTTCCTAGAATCCTCTCTGGAAAAGAAGGCATGTTTTTTTTCCCAAGCTGTTGGGCAATGTACTAAGGGCGATGTACTAAGTGCATCTCGATCGGAGCGAGACACTTTTGTGGTGGGGGAGCTCGTTAGGTGCTGATGTTTTAGCAGCAAATTTGTCCCAAAACCCCTGCCAAGAGATCGGCTTTGCTCACAAACGAGTTAATTCTCACGCTACTGAAGTAAGCTCAGCTAATAAAACACCAAGTTGAACCAAAGGCTTCGTTCCAACCGTTTTCTGCCCGGGGAGTAGTTGTTGAGCAGCGCGGGCCTTGCCGGGGAGCTTCCTGCGGATGCGGGAGCTGCCTGGCAACCCCCTCGCCTGCTTACGGAGCCCGAGCTGCTGCTGCTGGAGAACTGGCAATTACCCCGAGCAGGAGACAGTGATTAATTCCAACTATAAACAGCACCTTCTCGTGCATTAACGAGGAGCCGGCGCACCGCGCTTACTGCTGCCCACCGATAAAATGATTTCTTGGCTTGGAAGATGAATACAAAGGCAATCCTCAAATGCTTGAAATGCGTTTTGTCAACGCCAGGCAACGCTTGCTCTAGTCTATAATCTTTCCTTGCTCTGTGGGACGCAATGAAGCGGGCTGGCTAATGTGGTTTTGACAAAAGTCTGGTGTATTCACTCTGGCTCCCCGTGCGAGGGATTTCCAGAAGAGGCATTTGTGGCCGGTAAAGCTTTAATTCCCGTTAGCCACTTTGTGGCTTATTAGCCCTAAAGTACGTTAACCACTTCCTTATGTCTGCAGTTGTTCTTCTATCAGAAAGATTGGAAAAGTGGAGGTTTTTGAGGGAGGTGACCAATTCTCGTCATCACAAACCACTTTGCTTGCTGAAATTTTCAAGTTTTAATAGAAAAATTTCTGTGATGAAGCTACTATCAACATGTGCTTCAAGCTAAATGTACTTTTAACATAGGGTAACAGTGGCTTCCTCTCTGTAAGTACTGCCTTTGGAGAGAAAGCTTTTAAAAAAGAAGTACAGTGGATATTATAGACCAGTTTCTGGGTGTAATTTCTCATATCTATATAATTTGTATATTAATACCAATAAATCACCATCCTCATTTAGAGATGCTATTCGCTCCCTAACATAGCATGCTGTAATAGCTCTATAAATATTACATATACTGCAGAGCAGAGTTATCCTATTACATATATAGCTACAGCTTGCCTCTATGATGCACCATCAATAATTTTATCTGTACAAAAACTGTAATCTAGTTGAGCAAAGTTAAGTTTGTGCTTGAGTAAAGAGATTCAGGTATCTGAAAACACAACTGAATAATTAGGAAAATTAAGAACTTGCTGAAAGCTCTTTTTTTTGTATTTATAGCCTAACAGTAAGTTATCTAGGTAATTTTTTTTAAAGTATTTGGATGCATCTCTTCATAGAGGCTGCAAGCACCTTTAGAATAATTTTGTCATCTATTAGAGTCTGGTTTAGGCGTTGTTCTTTTTATTTTGCAGGTACAAACACTTCTAAGTGTCACAAATATGTGGCACAAACCAGTCGCTAGCTAGATATGTTCTCAAGCACAATAACTTGTTTAAGCTTATCTTGAATTTATAAAACATTTTTCTTTTTTTTCCTCCTTGGACAACATCAAAGTCTTATTGTATCCTTTTAGTTGGGTTAAAAATCAGAAATCCTAAAGAAGAAAAGTCATTTCCCAACTGTAATGTGTACTTGGATTCTGCATCTGCATTTTTGCATCTGTGTATTCGGTTGCATCTTTTCATCTCGCAGACATTAATCAACTAAAATTATTAATCACACTGCAGTAATAACAATGTAATACCATATATAAAATGTAATATTATTTATATAAATATATAATAAGTGCTGGAATTCTTCACATCATCTTAATAGTTGTCTCTGATATTTATTTTACTCTAAAACAATATCCACCACTAGTGTCAGAAAAGGTTTGTAAAGTCAGGGCAAATGGATGAATTTTCTGTTCCATTCCAGTGTAAGGAGTTTTAACAACATAAACTTTTTATGCAGGTATTGATCAGTGGTTAATTTGGGTCAGGTTTTTCTATCGTAAACCAGAAAGGATTCCCGAAGTGTTACCTAGGCCAAAGGATATTCTGTTGGAAAGAGGATAGCCTTTAATATCTGTCTTTGGATATCAGCCTTGGAACAGGCTGCCCAGGGAGGTTGTGGAGTCTCCTTCTCCGGAGGTCTCCAAACCCACCTGGATGCTGCCCTGTGCTCTGGGTGTCCCTGCTGGAGCAGGGGGTTGGACTAGATGATCTCTGGAGGTCCCTTCCAACCTCAACCACTCTGTGATTAATAAGAACACCGATCAGCCTTGGTGGAAGGATTTCCAGTGGTAGTGAACTTGAAATCCTCGGCCAAAGATTCCAGCAGTTCCAATTAAGTGAATTGTTAGGTATCTCCCTGTGTGTCTCGTGCCTGAGTGTCCCCCGTCCCCAGCTGGGGATCCAGCTCTGCAGCTCGGCAAGCAGAACAGCTCGGGTGACCGAATGGGTTTTGTTCACCACATAGGAGCATTAAAACCCACCCTAGTTCTGCAGAGCTGCTGTGACTAATGTTGCGTGGAGAGGCAAAGCTTCTCCTGGTGTTCCTGGTGTTACACGTGACTGCTCCTTCCCACCAGAGCCCTTCAGCCAGCAGCGGGTGTCTCTCAGCTGTGGCCCGGACACGTCACCCTCCTACACCCTGTCAAAAAAGGCAGTTTTACTCCTAGAGCACTGCGGCGCGTTCCTATATATATTAGATTGGTTTAGTCTTGGTCATGGCCTCTTGCTAGGCTGTGCTGTGAGGCTTCTTGGCCATCTTGGAGCACGGTGCTATTCTGTGCTGGAATTGCTAACACCTCTTTTCAGATGGGAGGGCTTTTGTTTTGTTTTCCTTTTCTAAGGGCTAGGATTAGGTAGGTTCTCGCCTAGACTCAGCCATGGGATGTCAGGGAGGTGCCCCAGGTCTGATCCATTTTGACATGCTCTCCCTCAGCCACCAACGCGCTGCAGAAAGGTCTTTTGCATACAGAGAGATAAATGCTTAATCGCTTTTACCATAAGTGTCTGCTTTCTGGAACCCATCTCGGTTCTGGCTAGCATTGCTTCCTCTGGGAAAGCAATTTTTCCCCTCTTAAGAAGAAAAAAAATCATAAAAGCCACAAGATGGATTTAATGGAAGGGGAAGGAGCAGAGAAACACTGATGCCAGTATGTTTTCCAAATTTCCTGACATGGCACTCAATGCCTATAGTAAACCAAGCTGAGCTCTACCTAAGGAACAAAAAGTTTCTCCAAGTGTGTGTGAATCAGCCGCTGCAGACCAAGCTGTGGTGTGAAATAATGCCACACATCTGTGATTCTGCTGTTCTATAAGGTTGTGCCAGATGACTTTTTAAGACCTTTTTCTCACTTTTCTCCTGAATTTCCAGGCCTGCGGGTGGTCTCTATGGCATTGATAGCATGCCTGATCTACGCAAAAAAAAGCCAATTCCACTTGTCAGTGATCTGGTAAGAGATTTCTCTTCTGCCGCGGAGATGGTCATTGTTTCAAAGGGCTTTACTTGGTTACACATGTTGGTGTTCGTTAAACTTGTGCTGATGTTCCTCAACTTCCAGAAGATGTAGACTTCCAGTTTAATTAAACTAATTCTTAAAATAACGCATTATGAGTTGTGAAGAAAAAAGAAGTATGATTTGATAGACAAGTATCTTTTTTTTAACATTCTTGTTTTAAATGGGTTACTTGTTAAACCTTCATTATTTTTAAATGCTTTCCTAAAAGACCCAAGCTTTGGGAAAAGTTGATATTGCCCATGTGAGGTTTGGAAAGACGACCAGAATTTCAGGAGACAGATAAACAGAGCATATGTGGATTTTGAAAGTAATTTGCAACACTGCCAGTAGGCTTCTGTACTGAGGAAGCACAAGACCCAAACAAATAATGAGGACAAATTTCATATGCTTGCGTGATATGGTGAGATAAGGCTTCTGTGGGATGAACTGGCTTTCTGCTGGCTGGGTGCTCAACACGAGCAGTGCCTTTGCACTTGGGAGAGATGCTCGGAGAGCTGCAAGACCAAGGTTTCCATATCCTGTGATTCCCACGAAAAGATAGCACACAGCTCGCTCTGCCAACTTATGCATGGGAAGCCTGGTATGTCTTTTACTGACTGCTTGTGTCTTTGAAGTCTCTGCAAGGACTGCATTAACTTGTGTTGCTTCTTTTGTATGCTTTCACTCTCTCTCTCCACAGGCCATGGTAAGTGGAGTTAAAGATTATCCATGAAGTCTTCAGCAGAAACAAGTTATTTTATCTCCCCCCCCCCCTCCATTATTGTGCTTTTTATTTTGAGCTTGCAGTGCATGAATATTCAGCATGCTGTCCTACCACATCACTGATGGAATGAACTTTTTCAGCCTGTCTTCAAGTAGCATGAATCAGAGCATAGATGGAGGTGGTTGTTGGGCGTTGGTGACTTGGACACAGATGTTGCCAGCTCTTCTTCTTGCCTTGGTCCAGTTGGAGTGGCTCGCTGAAGAAGCACCAGGGTGCAGAGCTGCAAAGGCAGAACCTGCAGAACTCGGCACAGCTGTGCTGGGAAGGAGGCAGTTCCAGGGGGAAATGCTGTTCATTGTGTTCAGTGATGGCCTGTGAATGTGACCTGCTCACATTCAAGCAAGTGCTCCCTACCTGTCTGCTGTTCCCTTTCACCCTGTTTGTTTTGATCCTTTCACTGTCCCCTTTGGGAGTGTTGCATATGTTATAAGCTGATGAAATAATCTCCTTTGGATGAGTGAGGTTAAATAGTGAGTCCCACCATAGGCAATAGCAATGCTACTGTAGCTACCAGAACATCTAAGTGGAGATGTGAACAAAGAGTTTTGTCTACTGTTGATGGACAAAGAAAGAAAATCAAAATCTGCCAGAGTAAGATAGGTTGCAGACAGATGGAAACAAGCTGGAAACAATTCACCTTTCTGAATATGCTTTTCACTCTGCTGGTATTTGGGCTACCATCATTTAAGATCAAGATTTAAGGAACCAACCTGAACATAAGAGACTGCTGCTTCGGTATCATTTTGGAGCGACAGACTCTCCCCTTGCTCACATCTCTGCACATGTAATGCCAAAGCATTTCTAAATGTTGCTAATGAATAATAAACTCTCCCTTCTTAGTCACTGGTCCAGTCCCGGAAAGCCGGAATTACCTCAGCAATGGCCACAAGAACATCTCTCAAGGATGAAGAGCTGGTAAGTGGGAGGATTGCATGGCTCCTGGTAACTTTTAGTAAGCAAATTAAAGGAGTTTTGAGCTCTGGATGTAGAGCCAGCTTCACAGATGTCTAAAAATATAGTTGCAAAGCTGCTGCTTTAATTTGTTTAAAGAAATCAAACAAACTTTAAAAAAAAAAAAGAATTTAACGTGTCAAATATAGCACTGAAAATAGAATCTTTACAATTTCTTTCTCTGCTATCTACCATAGGAGGTACTGTGTGAAAGCAGTTTTATGCAAGGTTCTCCTTGTCTACAAACCTTAATTCTTTCGTCTTCCATTTTTTTTTTAAATGTCTGCAAATCATTTTTGAAAGGATGTTTCTTGCTGCTTGTAAAAATTTGCTGAACTTGGCTACCTCAAAAGTATGGATTTATTGCACCGCTCGTGTTTTCTCTTAAAACCCGTGATAACCAGGAAAAACAGATTTAGTCACCCATGTGAATGCTGCTTCCTCTGTTTTAGAAATCTCACGTCTATAAGAAGACACTGCAAGCCTTAATTTACCCCATCTCCTGTACGACCCCGCACAACTTCGAAGTGTGGACGGCCACCACTCCCACGTACTGCTACGAGTGCGAGGGGCTGCTGTGGGGCATCGCGCGGCAGGGCATGCGCTGCGCCGAATGCGGAGTCAAGTGCCACGAGAAGTGCCAAGACTTGCTCAACGCCGACTGCCTGCAGAGTGAGTAGCCACTCTGCCCCTCAGGAGAGGGGCCACGGGGCATGGTTGGTTTCCAAGGGGTTTCCAGGGGTTTCCGAGGGTTTCCAACCTATTCTGGCTGCGTGTGTGATACCTTAGAGATGGTTGAAGTGGCTAGGTATTTTTTCAAGAGGTGGCACAGAGCTACAAGTGCTGCATTCAGCTCCAGTCATGAGTTTAATTCTTGGCTCCCGCGCATCTATTTGTTTTAGGGGTTGACCTGTGTAATGTGCTTAATCTCTCTCTGCATGAGCTTAAATAGAGTGTTTGTTAGCTTGTCCAGGGCGGATGAGAGGAAGTGGCCTGGATGGGTAGGGTACTGGGTTGGTTATTCTGACTTCTGTTGCTCCTGTCCTGGAATCTCTGGCCAATTCCTTGTTTTTACCATCATCTCAATTGGCTGTGGATTTGAAGATCTTCGAAGCGGCACTAGATTCCTGTTGTTGGGATCCAGACCATGGATTAGCTGGGATGCTGTGTACCAAGTGCAAGCTGGCGAGGCGTTTTGCCTTTTGAATAGAAGAACCTTCTGGCTGAATCACCTTAGATGGTTCAGAGCTGAGTCATCACGGCTGATGGGCGAGATAGGAAGGTGTCCTTTGAACATATGGGCAGTATCTCATCTTCCTAGAACCACTGCAGTTCATTTGGCTGTTTCTGTGGCACCTGAGCCCTCTCTCCATAAAAAGCAAAGCCCTATGAGCTTGCGGAATAAATGAGACCTAGCACAGGCAGTGGAAATGTTTGATTAAAAATTAAAAAGGAAATATTAATTTGCTTAGATTATTTTTTATTTTCTTTTTGAAACTGTTTACTGATTGGTCTCTGATTTGTCTTCATGATTAAGAACAAAATATCTTAGTCTAAATGGAATACAAGTTTCTGCCTTGTGTGTTGAATCTTGAGCAGGAAGGTGAGGCCACTTCTCATGATTTTTTTTTCTTGCTGTTCCAGATTGATAGAGTAAGTCTAATTAGAACAGCCTGTAAAATATATACCAAGCTATTGCATATTATGTGATAGAAATCCAAAGAATGAAATTATGTGTCTGCTTCAGACTTTAGTTAGTGGAAAAGTTAATTGGGTGATCCAGCAAGGGATACCAGTGAATCCTAGGCTTCCAGGTTCTTGTGGCTTATCTTGACACTTTAAGCAGATGTTCTTTGCACACATGAGAAATAAAAATGTAGAGTTTTAAAGAAGTCTCAGTTACAAATAGTGCCGTTTGCAATAGCTTATTTTTCAGACACAGCTCATATTAGTGAATTGGATCTGTCCCTTGCATGGTTAGCATTTCTTCCTTTGTCTTCAAGGGCCATAAGGGTGATCTCTGCAGTTGATAGCATTTAAATGACTGCATCGTTGACAACTTGGCTTTATTGTGACCATTTTGTGCCTAAGCAAAGGGCTTCTGGATTTTATTTGCTTCAGGAAAATGAAATTACATCATAAATCAGGTCCCTGACAAAATCTGATGTAGAAGGCCAGCACTTAGGCTCGGGATAACTGTGTTAGTTTTGCTTTCTGGAGTCTCCAGAACTCTCTGCTAATGGGAGATTTTCACCATGAGGGATGAAAAGTTGCTGCTGATCTGTGCATTTGGGTTTCAGCTGCACACTCGAGACACAGTGATGTTCTCTCTGAAGTTGAGATATCTCAGTATGGCAAAATGATATGGAGAGTAGAGGAAAATGAGGCTTACATCAGCAGCTGTGAGGAGATAAATGTAATTCAGCTGTGCAGAGAGGAAGCAATGGAGTCAAAAACAGTAGAAGGAAAACTAAATTTAAGAAATAGCTAAATTTTAAAATAACTAATTTTAAGAAGTAAGAGGAGAAACAAGGCAGGACTGATGCTATTTCAGGAGGCTAAGAATGCCCTAAGAACATTAGGTCTGTATTAATAAGTGTTTCTAAAGAGATGTTAAGGAGCCCTAGGCAGAGGGGTAAGATATGCAGTGCAGAGCTCCTACATCTCTGCCTTGCTGTCCCAGTTAACACCTATCCCTGGCTTGAGGATTTGCCAAGCAGTAGATGCTACATGCAGTGACCAGCAGTGATGGCTCTTGGAACTGGTCTAATGTCATTGAATTTGTTTGTGCTTAAATTATGTTGAGAAAGAAGGACATAACAGCAGGGAGGATGACGGTCTGTTTAATCCTAATGTTTGCAAAAGTAAAAAGAAGAATTTGTTTCCTGTAAGAAAATAAAGGCTGGGCCATGGGAGCAGGTTGTCTAATCTCTGGCTGAAGTTAAATCAGGTTATGCAACGGGCTGTGGGATGTGGTGGTGACAAGAGTCCACATGCTTTTCTATAGAATAGAAGGAACATTGGAAACAACACTGCTTTTCATGTATAGCAAAGCACTAGATAAGAATTTGCTCTCTTGTTCAGGGGATTACAGATATTTACTTTGCACATTTCCTTTCAAAGCGTAAACACAAGATACTCCAGCACGTGGCCTTGAAGAGAAGCCCTCTGGGCTCAAAACTAGTGAAGCCCTTGGGCAAACCTTCCCGGGAAGAGTTATTTGAAAGCTGCCCACAATCAGAGCTGGGAAGATGCAGAGCCTGTGAGCCAGGGCCCTAAGGTAGCCAGTGTGAGGGTGCATCTGGGCTGGAGACAGGAGGAGAATTGGAGGTGGGTCCTTGTGTGGTTAATAAAAGAGATAGAAGAAAGATCAGGACAGTGGGATCCATGCGTAGATGTGCTACTGGATTAGGAAAACAATTATTATTGACACTGGAAATCTATTAAAAGGTGTTTTTTATAAAACCGTGTTCTTTGCCTTGCTATGTTCATGCTAAAATTCTTCTAATTGGAATCCCCAAGGCCAGAAGGAAATGGGAAAATTACATTAGTTTTTATATAAGTTTGAAGAACATAGGTTTGCTTGAGGAATGAGAAGAAGAAACTTCTGTAAGGAAAAGCAATAGTTTAGAGATCTAGTAAATCTGAGCTCAAACTATTTTGTATATTAAACTCAGGAGGAGGTTTCTTCCCAGCAGAGAGGTTTTATTGTTGCTGTCAGTATAAAAAAAAGCGTGTTCTCCTGTCTTATCCTCACTTAAGTCTTCTAGAAAATGTTGCATTAGAGTAAATGAATTTCTAGGCTAGTAGGAAATAAATTCCATCAATTATGCCTCGATGTCTCAGGATGTGTCATCATTTATGAAGTCTTCTAAAAAATCTTGCACTCGATTTTTGGATGGCCACAAATAAAACTCATGATTATCACTTGAAATGTTGGGTAGATGCTTGGTGTTTTATTCCTTAGAATCAAGATGTGCTGTTAATCTATCTTCTATACTCCAATGCCTTTCTCTAGGAAATAACACAATCTCTTTCCCCAAATCTATTTTTGGTTATTTTTTCTGAGAGTGTTTTTCTTTCTATATTTTAAGAAATTGAGTATCTGACAAAGTCAACAAATGCGTGGGACGGTGGTGACAAAATACTCAAATTCAGCCCTGTTTTGTTGCACATTGTAAAAAAAATACTTTTGTGCAAAATTGGCCACTATTTCTATCTTAAAGCTAACTTGTTTCTCAGTTTATTTGTGAGATGGGCTCAAAACATTAGTTATCAAGAAGGCAGTTAAAAATGCCCTTGGAATATATTTCCTGCTCCAGGAAGCATTGTGCCCAAGGCAGGACACTCAGCAGAGGTGAAGAGCATGGACATTTTAGATAAAAAATTAAGAAAAAAGGCAAAACTTGCAACATTCAGCCTAATAGTTTAAGGTCTAGCAGGCTCTTTGGTCTTGTATGATGGGACATGTCTTGCAGATCCCCTGAACTGGCAGTTTGATGTGCCCTCTACTTGAATAACTTGTGGCGTGTGTACTGCATCCATCTGGTTTATGGCTCTGTGGGCACTAGGTTGTTGCTCTGAGAGGATGAGAAAGCCTGGGTTTCTCTCTTGCAGGTATTTATAAGATGTTACTCTGGTGATAGGACAACTAAACTCTTCATAGTAATTGCTCAAGCTAAGATGCTCCCCTTTTAGTCTTCAACAACTCTTTGGAGTACCTTAACTTCTTCTGTGGGTTTCTAATTCTTTCTTACCTGGCTGCAAGTGAATGGAGGGATGTTCTTGGGACATAGCAGGCAAGTTTTGGAAAAGGGCTGCTTTCATCTCTCACCCTGAGCACCAGTGTCGTGCTTACCAGAGGGCAATGTGTGGGCAAAGCTGGTATTAAAGGAGGAGTAGAGCTGAGGATGGATGTGTAGGATGCGAAAAAGCAGATGCAGAGAAGTGGGTGTAGCAGAATTATCAAGAGAGGGGAAAGAAGGATGTGATGATGGCAAGATCATAGCAAAAGGGTCTTACAAAGTTCTGGGCTAGCTTTTGAGTCATAGTAGTATTCTGCTTCTGCAGATGGGCATCTTATTTTTCTGTCATGTTGCTGATCTAGTCTTTGGTATATTGCAGTTAAACCTGAGAAAAGAGATATCCCTGGAGTACTCGTCAGGTTCTTTTGAGATCTTGCAAATGAAGAGTTGAGACATCAAGCCTGAAACTGTTGTAGAACAATTTAGCTGTGTGCGTTTAGTCATATGTCTTTGCTAGTGCATTGGGAAAGGTTTTTGTTCCTTATGGTGTGTTGGAATCGCAAAGCTTGAGGCCTTCACTGTTGCTGGATGTTCTGCTTGGCACTGTTTTGGCCCTTGGGACTTGGGTACTTCTGGAGTTCCTCAGAGTTTTCTGGCCCAGGGCTTCTCTTAGTGGCTTTTTGAATGAGAAACTTCCATGTGTTGCACTCTAACCAGGTTGCAGTTGCGGAGCCTGGCTCTGAAGGTGCACTGTTAGTAAGATGGGTAAGATACTCTGGTGATAAACATCTTGGTGTCTGTGTCCAATGATGATTAAAGCACCATGGAGATAAATACTTGTTTGCTTCCAGAATCCTGCACAGGAAAATATTTGCACAGAAGGAGGAAGGATACCTTTATTTGAGACTTGAATATCTATTTTAAGTCTCAGGAATACATAATTTCTAAGCATTATCCTCCTACTGAACAGCTGTCCTCTATCCTGCCAGCATTGCTGTCTTCACTTTTTCCCACTAGAGCATAAGGTAACAGCAGTGGCAGTTTACTAATAGCTGTATCAATACAATATAGTCCCAATATAGTCTTTCCTTTCTTTTTGCAGCCATAAATTGGCTTGTGATCCCTTCCTAGACAGGCAGAGATAAGGAAAGCCCAGCACCATTCACATGATACTGTATATTCCTGTGCACAGGACTTGGAGATTCCTCAGCCTTTCCATAGTGATTTACAGAAGTACTTGAAAAGCTGAACCTTTACATTGCAAAAAGGTGATTTGGGGTCAATGAGAAAAGCATCTCAAATCCAACCTTTGCTGTCTAGTGGAGGGATATACTTTGGGAAACATTCCTGTTCAGCACTGGGATTCTTTCCTTTTCAAGTATAATAATTAGTCCCCTGATGATCTTTATTTTAGAAACCATGGAGATTTTGTACCAACAAGCGGATGTTAAATGAGGGAAGGGCGTGGTGTTGTGGCAGAGGGTTTGTCTTTTATTATTTTGTGTTGTAAAATAGGCAGCCTTGTTCACCCAGTCCTCTTTTGCCCTTTGGATCAGGTGTCATCTCTGCAGGAGGAAGAGCAGGAGCCTTCGTGGGGTGGGAATAACTGACCCATTTGCGTGGGCAGAGCAGGGAGCAGCATGGAATGGAGAAGAGGGTGGCCAGGCGAGCAGAGATGAACCTTGGGGAGGCCAAGAGCTTCCAAAATATGTTAAGTCAGGGCCCATCTCGATGACTAACAGTAACACTTTTTTTATCTGCAAGCTGCCGGGCTAGTAATTTCTTTAGAAAATGGCTCTAAATTAGAGCACTCCCACTCATGTGTGACACGAGCTCCTAATATTCAGATTTAGTTCTTAATTCTTGCAGAGTCAGAGGGCAGAACAGAATTTGTTTCTGGGAAATGCAAGAGATTTCAGAGTTTTGTGGAGGAAATGTGAATTGTTCAATTGGCCTCTCCCAGTTTCCCGATTAATTTTCTGTAAATCTGCGTGTCCTGAGTCCACCCCAGTCCCCAGAAGGTCTGAAGCTTGAACAGCACTTCTTTTCTGAAATTCAAAGTCTATGCCGTGGTAATATTTTGCTTTTGTACTCCTTTAATAAATGCTGGGTCTACAACTGGGTGATTATCTGATAGGAGACATCGCTTTGGATGGTGCTTATTCATGATCACCAGTGAATAAAGACAGCAGGAACCGCATAATTAATTCCAGTATTTTGGTTTCATTTCATCTTAAGCCAACAACAGAAAACTCTGGGGCCATTCCTCAGCTGCCTTTTTATTGTACTAAATAGAATACTGAAGAGCAAGCCTCCAGCAAGCCAAATGAAACACAATTATCAGGTAACACAAAGTTCCAGCCTGTTCCAAGGCCAAGCCTTTAATAGCATTCCTTGATACGCAGTATCTTTAATGAACTTCTGAAACTCCAGCTGTCACAGTCTGTTCCAAACCGCATTTTTCTTCTTTTCGCTTTGGATGGTGGAGCTTATAATTGAGTTTTGTTTCTTGATTGAAGTGAGTTTAACAACGGTGAAAGGCGTGAGATTGGTGGTCCTGGAAATGGAGGTCTTGAGGCGGTGTTAGTCAGCGAGCACCCTGTTGAGCCTGCTAACGAGGCTGCCTGTTAGGCTGTGCTGCTGGGGTCCTTTATGAGCAGGCACTTGTTTCACAACTTCATTCGTGTCAAGACACCGGCTGCTGAAGCTGTTTCACATGCAAAATGGGGATGCTTTATATTAAGGTGTTCCCAATATCACTTCCTTTCCAACATGGTCAGGAGGAGGGAATTTGAGGTATCTTCATGGTTTGATGGTGGCCTCTGTACAGATTTGCATCTGCTTTTAATACTTTTGTATATTATTTCCGTAAAACAAAGACTGCTTTAATTAAGCAATTTCAGGGAAAAAAAGAAAAAGGGCAGATGAAAGCAAAATGTAGTTGAATATGTTCACAGGATTTTTGTCATGGTTGCATTAAATCTGGTTTAAGATAACAGCTTCAAGTCACCGCAGACAGTGTGGAGAGACTGTGGAGTCCTGGGTTTCTGCCTTTCCTTTTGCACCCTGATTTGTCCATCTTGTTAGTTTTTGTCAGTGCTTTCAATAATTTATGCCTCACATCTGGCACAATAGTCTGTGAACATGACTAGCATAATTTAATAGGAAATCCGTGGTTGTGGGAGCATTCTTATCTCATAACTATGTGAACCTTATAGTATTTCAAGAGATACAGAACACCAGAGCCCTCCATTTTTCCAGTTATAGTTAAATACTTATGCAGTACAGACCATACTCTGGGCTCTTGTGTTTCCAGCAGCTAAAAGAGACTTGCCTCCCTTTCTCATAGTAATCTGTGTCTCTAACTTTTGAATTTCCCATTGTATGTGTTACGTTTACTGTAACTGCATGAGTCTAAT